TTTTCAATAAGCTACAGTTTAGTAAATTGTAGAATGCTAAGAGTCAAATTAGTGAATTCATAAGGTAATAAATATAGAAAATTAGCTAAGTTTTTAACCACTAGAAATTGAGAAAGTAAAAAAAAAAAAAGATTAATATAAGGAAAGCAGCTTGAGCTATATATTGGCTTTCCTCTCATCAGAATCCTGTCCTGTTTCAAAGGGGGCACTGCATTTTGAACACATAAAAAGGTATGCAAAAAAAAAAATGAGCTAGGTGCAGTGATGCACACCCACAGACCCAGTGACTCAAGAGGTTGAAGTAGAAGGGGCACTGGAGCCCAGACTGAAGGATCAAATGAGACCAGCCTGAATATCACAGAGAGAAAATAAAATAAGAACTCTGAGGCCTATATGCTGTAATTTAAATATTTTTGTGATTTTTATCTACAAACCAACTTTTGAACTCTGTTCCTATTTTCTTAGGGACTGACAATGTCACATCTTGCAATCCATTAAATGCATCCCATTCTCTGAATTCTAAATGCCCGTCCTTCCTTATTGTAGTCTGTTTGAAGTCCTACTTTAAGTACTAGGGCCAAAGCAATCTTTTCCCTTACCACCTTATTTTGCCCACCTTTTTGGAGTCATTCTCCTCACTTGCAATCTACTCATATATTTCTCATTATCTATTTAATTACTTGCCACATTCTGGCTTTTCCCAGATCCTGGTATGTAGGTGACCAAGACTGACAACCTTTAACTTGTGGACTATATAGTGTTTATCCATATTTTGCCTGAAAGCTTAAAACAGTTGTAGAATACATTACTTTGAGTATCAGTATCATGATGAATGAATGAACCAATGATGAATGAATAAATGTGTGAATGTAAGTTATTTAGATCAGCTGTAAGATCTATCCTGGTTTTTCAACCTTAAAAAGACTTCAGGGTAAAAATCTAATAGTCCCACAACTAGAAGTACTCATACGTACTTTGAATTTTACTGCATGAGCTTGTGAGTTTGTCAGTGTGAGGTAGGAGTCTGTACTCCACAGATCAATCTTTGCCTGTTATTTGCAAAATTAACTTTTCCTCTTCATTCTCTGGCTTCAACATATCCAGTTTTTTTGTGGGGGGCAGGCACAGGCAGTAGTGATATCTTCTGGTTTACAATATTCTTAAACTTCAGGGCAAGAATACACATGATGTGCATTCATTTATCCATAGGTTATCAATTCAGTGGCTAAATCTTTTTTCTCTTCATGATTTATTTTTTCATCAAGGTTTAAGTAGTAAATGATATGCTTTGAAAGGGTAATTTCATTAAGAGTGTACAACCTATCACTTGGTACAATTAATTCTTTAACAAAAAAAAATGTCTTAGTGATCTAGCATATGCCAGGCAATATGCTCTGCTATTGAATAAAATGTCTGGGAAGCTATTGATTTGGATTGAGGACATATATTAGGCCCAATAGGTCAACATCAAATGGAGTCACTTATACTAAGTTTCCATGTTCTTAAACCAAAACCTAAACTGTTTACTTGTAAGAGTTGACTTCCGAGAAATCATAAAGGGAAAGGATAATCAATCCCCATGCAGGCCAGTTTTCTGAAAACAGCAGATTCACAGCAACCTATCACAAGAGGCCCCATCAACCTGAGCAGCAGGGTAAGGAAGTCCTCTTTGCTTTAACCTAAATAAGGAAAATAATCTTAAGGAACATGATTTCAACCAGTCTGCTTTTTGCACTATACTAATTTCTTGTTCCTGTTTAAGAACCAATGGTACTGCCACTCCCAGTAAGGCACCTGTCTGTTTTTGTTTGTTGTTTGTTTGTTTTGTTTTGTTTTTTACGCTTGATACTCCCCAGATCATGAATTACTAGTAAAAGCCAACTGTATCTTTAAAGCTCAACTTGTTGAAATTGTGTCCTTTGACAGTGCTAAACCCTAGAGAGATACAAATGAATACAGAAGAGGTCACAATATTTTAATAAGGTGAATTGAAATGTAAAAACATCTTTGCAATAAATATAACAAATTCATTAACAAAGAGAAGAAGGGAATTGCCGACCAGGGCATGTGTAACTCTACTTACTCATCAATGACTAGAGAGGTGAAAAAAGAATTATCAGCATTCCAACTTCTCTCCTCCAGACCTATCACAGCAACTGGATGTCTTGGCAGCTCCTAAAGGAGTTAAGGATGATGATATCCATATAAATAGAGCTAATGCATTCCTTTTGAGTAAATTGCTTGTCAAATTAGTTTCCCCTTTTGTACTTCAAGAAAGACTGCAGCAGTGAGCAGCAGGACGCAGAGATGCTTGGAGTGTACTTGGACCCTACTCAGAATCAAGTGGTTCTGAAGGAACACAGAGCACCTAAGTAAAATTAAAATCAGCAATTAGAGAGAATGGTGTGCCACCCCAAGAAGATGGTAACTGCCAGGATAAGTCTAGGGAGCAAATGCAAACTCCAAATAGTTTCCCCAAGTCCAAGGGAAATATTGTGTAATTATTTTGTTTACTTAACACTTCCATCTCAATCATCAGCATTCAGACATTTGGGAGATACTTCCCTGACACTGTCCATCTACACACATAAGCACACACACTCATAAAAATCCAACTCAGGCTTTTGAGTGTTCTAAGATGCAAACTCACAAAAGCCACTAACAAAAGCTGAAAGTCAGGAGCATTAGAATATTGCAAAATTTAATCATTTTTAATCAGATTTTATGGAATTTAGGATTTCAGGGAAAGGTTCTTGGGTAGAGGGTCTTAGAATTTCAAAAATGCAATAGACTAAGAGAGCTATAGCTAGGAAAGTCTCCCCACTTTTTGCTCGTGCTGGCGTGTGTGTGTGTGTGTGTGTGTGTGTGTGTGTGTGTTTGGGGGAGTTCCTTTCATATTAATAGAAAAAAAAAATCTATTGACTTCCAGGGAGGAATATGAATAGATAACATTAACAATTGAAAAACAGTTCAGTTCACTAGCTAAAACTCCCTCTCACTTTACCCACTTATATTAGGCAATGCATTAATGTATGTACTGTGAAGACATTTCCATGTATTATTTTCTCTTAACCAATATCAAATTAAGTGTGCTGGCGAAACAACAGGAACAAGGACGCAGCTGGCATGACAATTCCTGTGCTTTACCACCAAATCAGAATGGCTGACATGGAAAACAGAGTAGCAGATGGTGGGACCAATAGCTAGAGAAGCATGCAATTTGCTCAAGGTCATAAGAATTTTAGCAGAATTAGAAACAAAACCCAGGAAGACCTTGAAGCCAAATGCTATTGTTCATATGTATTCTTTCATAGAACACTAAAGTTTCAATTAAAAATCAGGGAGTAATTACAATATAGCTATAGGTTCTTTTAGATGCAATGATGGAAATGATAGTTTTGTGACAGGGAAGATGAACAGCTCATATTGCCTGCCTCTGCTCTGTGGAGCATAAAGGCCACACTGGAACCTGAGACTGGAACAAATGCTTGGTATCTCTATATGACAGTTAAGCCATTGACTTGTGTTATTTAGGCATTTGATATATGAATGTGTGTACATCAAGTTCAGGTAGGTTGACATTTTAGGTGAATTTCCCTGACATCAGTGTGTAGGATAAATTGAACTGTCTGAAAGGGGGAAAGGGCAGGAGCTTGTGATCAGGGTGGATAAGTTATGGAACTGTTTCAGTTATTGACGTCAAATATAAGAAGAGGAAGAACTGAAACTAGGACATGGAGGTGGTGACGCTCCCGCAGATTGAGAGTCATGCTGACTTTCTTTCTTGAGAATGAGGGTGGTGTCTTTAGAAATACCCCAGGTTGAGACCCAAGCAAGATTATGTTGGAAACATCCAGGAGGAAGTGAGATTCATTTCTATAGCTCAGAGGCAAAATTAAGTCCAGATTCATAAACTGGACAAGGTTACCTATATAAAGGTGACAGAGAGATCCATAGTCGTGAGCAAATTTGCAATGAAAGGGTCAAGAAAATTTGTAATAGAATCACTGGGAAAAGTTTCATTTAAAATCAGATAGTAGGTTCACAAAATCTTAAAATATTATAAACTAGACTCCAGTACAATGTGAAACTCCTGCTTTTTAAAAGATTATTAAGGCCACAGACTAGGGGAAAACATTTGCAAACTATTTATATGATCCTAAGACTTCTGTATTTTAGAAGCTGTTTCAGAGAAATGTGAAGATCTTAAAGCTTTAGAAGAATTCGAAACAGAAGCAGGACTTTGGGCATCTGAAAAATATTCTTTCATGATCCTTTATGCTACCATAATTGTCAGCAAAAATATTTATCGTGTATCTCTTTCATGCTTGACAGGGTCCTGATGTTCTAGCTTGTTTCTAATAACTGAGTGTAAACAAGGATGATTCGTGTTCAAACATGACAATGACCTAATTCAATTACCTCCCAATATTGGAACTACAACTGTCAAGTGAGCCAAAAGAATCCCTGTTAGCTAGGTATTATTTCAACAACTCTGAAGACTCATCCTTAAGTGCCCTGAATTACTGGGGTTTTTTTGTTGTTATTGTTTTTGTTTCTTTGTCTTGCCTTACAAAACAGTTGCATCCCTTCTGACGAATGACAACTGTGCGGAAGAACTGTGATAAACAGCAAGGATACACATAGCGGAAATTCTTCCTAATTAATTGGCTGGTTAAAAAAGAAAATAGTGTCTTTGTAGCTCTAGCGACTGAAGCCTGCCTGTGAGACAGCATCTCCCATTAACTCGCGGATTCACTTCTTTTCTAGCAGCGCAGCCAGGAAGGTACTTGTATACATGTGCATCTAACACGTGCGTCTGTGCAGGGGAGGGCAGGAACAAGAAAGGAGAGAGTGAGGACGGAAGAGGGAGAAAAATAAGAGGAAGGGGGGGAAAATACAGAGAGAGCGCGCCAGAGAGATCGTGGGAGACGTGAAAGAGTGAAGGATCAGAAGGAGGGGGATGTAAAAGCCAGGTTTTTATTGGAAGCAATTGAAGTGGTTGCTATGAGACCCGCTCCAGCAGAGGACCAGCAGCCAGACTGATGCTGATGGTTCTTAGCTCGTACTAAACCTTTCCTCTGACACAGTTTTAGAGTTGTTTAATATCTGAGCAAGCACCTGACACGGGTGACTTTTTCCTTCCTTTTTTTTTTCCCTCCTCCAGTTCCTCGGGTAAGATGGAGGTAGAAAATGAAGCCAGCTGTTCCCAGGGCAGCGCGACAGGCGGGTCCAGAGAGTACAAGGTGGTAATGCTGGGAGCAGGGGGAGTTGGTAAAAGCGGTAAGTTTTAACACCAAATGCTGGGGAAGGAGGGACCTCTATGCAGGAAACTCTACAGTGGAAAATAATGATAATAATGCTGGTGCTGTTAGGGTCTGGCTGCGGCAGGGAGCGTCTGGCAGGATGTTCAGAAGTGTAAAGATTGTTAACAGGATGCTGATGAGTCAGGAGATTGGAGAGACTGTCATGATATGTAGAACTTTAAGATGATGATTTTCTCCTTTTATCTCATGCGGGTGATATTTGCTCTTAATTTACATGGTTTTTAAAAATTAATAGTGATAATAAATATTCGTGGTCTGGGAAAAAATGTGCTAGTATTCTAAAAAAAAAAAGAAAAGAAAAATAAAAAGTAGGAAAAAAAGAAAAGATATTCACATCAGGAAAGGAATGCTGTAAATATTCAACTAATCACACAGATAGATACAGACACTGGCTAGGGATTCTCATGGATGACTGTGGTATTTCTTTCACTAGGCGCTTCCCAGTGTCCTTTTCCTTGTTTGGGTCTGACATAGCAAGTGTGGGTTGTGAACCAAGAGGGAAGTTGGTGTTTTGAAAGTAACTGTGGTTTAAAGAATAGTGGGACACATACAGGGTGAGCCAACCAGCATTTTAGTCAATGGAACTAAAAGGACAAGCTACAAGAATTAAAGGATGTGGGATGGTAATGAGGTGATGACAAGACTGGGTAATTTATTTTTGATACATAAAGATTAGGAGTCATCAGGGCTTTGGTTTCATGAGGAGCTTAAAAGACCAAGTATTACAAATTAAAGAAATAGATATTCAGTAATGTTTGAGGATGAATATATGTTAGATAATTTGGGCCTATGGATATCATTAGAACATAAAGATATATAGTTATTTATATAAACATAAGATTTCCTACTGAGAATACATGTTTGGACATGTCAAAGGGCAAAAGAAAAGTGAGGTTAGCATGGACAAACTTTATCAAAACTATTCAATACTTAACTGCTTGATGAAAAGATTCAAAGTTAAGGAAAATACTCTTGCAGAAGAAATCCCAAAGCTAATAATTTTGATGGTGGTTCCAGAAGGAGTAAGAAAGTTTAGCAATGAGGAAATGAGGGAAAGACAGTAACTTTAGTGGACAGAAAAGGCAGAGAAAAAATTATCAAGAGACAAGGAATTGAGCCACCCCAATGCTCCCCTGCTGCACCCAAAGGAATTATCATATAAAGGAAAAGAAAAGAAAAAAAAGGCAGATTTGGATGTGATAGGAGCTAAGAGGTTGCCTAAGTGAGAAAAATTATTTATCTCTTCTAGGAAAGAAATGTGAAATGAAAGGCTTTGTAACAATATATGAACAAGAAATGAAAAAAAAAAAACTTTCTTTGTTAATATAATGGCTTGGGAGGGAATAAATCAAAATAGATGATGATGGGGGGGGGAGAAAGTAAGCAGGAAGGATAAGGGAAAAGAATCTATGAAAATGAAGTTATGCTTTAAAAACAGGTCATCAGATACAATGAGAAAGAAGTTATTGCGGGGGCTGGGGCTGGGGCTCAGTGGTAGGGCACCCGGTCTGGCATGTGTAAGGCAGTGGGTTCCATCCTCAGCACCACATATAAATAAATAAATAAATAAATAAATAAATAAATAAATAAAGGTATTGTGTCCATCTACAATTAAAAATATATATTTATAAAAGGAAGTTATGTGGGAATAAAATCTGAGAAAAGAAACAGATTAAGGAAAAAAAAAAAAAGTCTAGAGGCCATCAACAAAACCTATGGCCGGAGCTGGTGAGATGAGAGAGTCTACAATAGCTTATGTGCCAATGGGTCCCCTTTGCCTGCTAGCAGGGTGTTTTCTTATTTTACCAGGAGGTGGGGGATGTGGGAACTGAGTGATTGTCTTTACACACCTCATTTTATTCCAAGGATGCAGATTTGGAAAGTGAAGGTGTTGCCTAGGAGCATCCTCCAGCAAGACCCTTATGCTGTGATATTAGGAAGTTAGAATACTGATATTATGTCTTCTGTTTTGACCTCACCCAATATTATTTGTGATGACTACTCATTGTTACCATTGCAATATCTAGATATTTTCAAGATAACACAATGGTTGGAGGAGTGGCTTGGGTTACTTTCACCTTCACTTTATATAAAAGAGACCAGTTCCTAATTAAATACTTGAATAAAACTCTACTTTTCCTCTGGGAGAAGGACAACTGTAACCAGCTCACCCTCAGAAAAGGTTAAGAATAAAAGATGGTAAATAGTTTGGTTGTACTGATTATATAAATGGCATCCTTGGCTATTTCTCCAGAGAATTTTATTCATATTACAATTTCATTCCTAGAAAATACTGTCCTTAGGGCCAAGTGTTTCACTGTGATAGAATCACATCTTGCCCTTGGACTTTATTCTTATGATTTATATGGTGTTATCAGTATGTAAATATTCAGGCACTGACCTCAATACTAACCTTTTCTTGAAGGTTAAAGTATTTGATTTCAAGTCAACTAAAATATTTTTTTTAAAAGTCACTTTTCTATGAAGAATTGGGATTTTAATAGAAATTGCATTAAATTTGTGTAATGCTTTTTGTATTATGACCATTTTGACAATATCAATTCTGTCTATTCAGGAGCATGAGAGATTTTTACATCTTCTGAGGTTTTCTTCAATTTATTCCTTAGTGTTCTATAGTTTTCATTGTAAAGGTCTTTCACCTTTTTTGTTATATTGATTCCCAGGTATTTTATTTCACTTGAGGCTATTGTGAATGGAGTAGTTTTTCTAATTTCTCTTTCAGTGGATTCATCTCTGATGTTTAGGAATGCGTTTGATTTATGGGTGTTGATTTTTTATCCTGCTACTTTGCTGAATTAATTTATTAGTTCTAAAAGTTTTCTGATGGAATTGTTTGGATCTTTTAGATATAGAATCATGTCATTTGCAAATGGTGATGGTTTGAGTTCTTCTTTACCTATTCATATCCCTTTAATTTCTTTCTTCTAATTACTCTGGCTAGAGTTTCAAGGATGTTGAATAGAAGTGGTAAAAGAGAAGACACTTGCCTTGTTCCAGGTTATAGAGGGAATACTTTTAATTTTTCTCCATTTAAAATGATGACAGTCTTGGGTTTAGCATATATAACTTTTACAATGTTGAGGTATGTTCCTACTATCCCTAGTTTTTTTAGCATTTTATTTTATTTATTTATTTTAAGAGAGAGAGAGAATTTTTTAATATTTATTTATTTTTTTTAGTTATTGGCAGACACAACATCTTTGTATGTGGTGCTGAGGATCGAACCCGGGCCGCACTCATGCCAGGCGAGCGCGCTACTGCTTGAGCCATATCCCCAGCCCTTTTCTAGTATTTTAAACATGAAGCTATGCTGTATTTTGTCAAATCCTTTTTCTGCATCTATTGAGATGATCATATGATTTTTTTAAAGTCTATTAATATGATAAATTATGTTTATTGATTTCTGTATGTTGAACTAACTCTGCATCCCTGGGATGAACCCCACTTAGAAATAGAAAAAGCAATCATGAAATTTATTTGGAAAAATAAGAGACCCACAATAGCCAAAGCAATCCTTAGCAAGAAAGGTGAAGCAGGAGGTATCACAATACCAGATCTTAAACTATACTACAGAGCTATAGTCACAAAAAACAGCATGGTATTGGCACCAAAATAGTCTTGTAGACCAGTTGTACAGAATAGAGGACACAGAGACAAACCCACATAAATATGGTTATCTCATACTAGACAAAGGTATCAAAAACATCACTGAATAAAAGATAGCCTACAGAACAAATTATGCTGGTAAAACTGGAAATTCATATGTAGCAAAATGAAATTAAACCTCTCCCTCTCACCCTGCCCCAAAATCAACTCAAAATGTATCAAAGACTTAGGCACTAGAACAGCAACCCTGTACTTAATAGAAGAAAAAGTAGACTCAAATCTTCACCATGTCAGCCTACAATCTGACTTCCTTAACAAGACCCCTAAAGCACAAGAAGTAAAATCAAGAATCAAGAAATGGGATGGATTCAAATTAAAAAGCTACTTCTCGGCAAAGGAAACAATCAATAATGTAAGAAGAGAGCTGACAGATTGGGAGAAAATCTTTACCACATGCATCTCTGATAAAGCATTAATCTCTAGGATATATAAAGAACTCAAAACACTTGACACCAAAAAAATAAATAAAAACAAAAAGCAAAAGTAAAAAACAAATAACCAAATTAATATATGGGTTAGGGAACTGAACAGATACTTCACAGAAGAAGAAATACAATTGATCAACAAATACATGAAAAAATCTCAGAAATGCAAATCAAAAGTACACTAAGATTTCATCTCACTCCAGACAGAATGACAATCATCAAGAATACAGGCAACAATAAATGTTGGCAAGGATGTGGGGAAAAAGGCACATTCATACATTGCTGGTAGGACTGCACATTGGTACAACCACTATGGAAAGCAGTAGGGATATTCCTCAGAAAACTTGGAATGGAACAACCATTTGACCAAGCTATTCCTTGGTTTATACCCAAAGTACTTAAAATCAGCATACTACAGTACTGCAGCCACGTCAATGTTTATAGCAGCTCAATTCATAAATGGCTAAACTGTGGAACCAACCTAGGTGTCCTTCAATAGGTGAATAGATAAAGCAATGTAATATCTATCTATCTATCTATCTATCTATCTATCCTCTATCAGATATAGATAGATATATCTGATGGAATATAACTCAGCTTTAAAGAAAAATGAAATTATGGCATTTGCCAGTAAATGGATGGAGTTGGAGAATATCATGCTAAGTGAAGTAACAATTCCACAAAACCAAAGGCTGAATGTTTTCTCTAAATATGTGGATGCTAATTCACATTAAAGGAGGTGGGGCACTAGAGAAGAATAGAGTTACTTACCCTAGATTAGGTAGATAGAAATGAAAGGAGGGGAGGGGAGGGGATGTGAGGATAGGAAGGATAGTAGAACAAA